TACAAAAATTTCATTTTACCATTTGAATCGATGTCTTCCTTATTACATGTGCAAATACAAATACAATTTTTATTTGTTGATAATGAAGGTTCGACTTTCACCTTGATTTCTTCCATAATAAAAGATAAAAATAATAAACAATAACAAAACGATTATCTAATTTCATTTTTACCTGAAGACTTTGATGCAATAACTTGATTAATTTGTTCGAAAATATTTTGTAGTTCATCAATTGAACTATCGGGTATGTCAAGATATTTGTTGCTTGTTCAATCAAGTGTTATTCACGTCCAATAGTTGATAGTTTTTGTTCAACAATTAGTTGAAGTGTAGTTATAACTGTATTTAAATCAATACGAAGATTATCTAAACGTCGATTATTTTGGTTTGTTATTTCAATATGTTCAGCCAAATGTTTGAAACAAATAAGACGTAAACAATAATGACATTCATATAATTCTTTAATTTCATCATCACATGTTATATCGGTGCATGAATCTATTTCGGGCATTTCTAAAAAATAAAATACATGGGAAATAAATGTTAAGAGAACGGAAGAGGTTTAAAAAAAGCATACAAGTTAACAGCATTTGGATATTTTCAACCTTTATCTTTAAAGAAAAGAACGAAACATGATTAATCATCCCTGCGCACTCATATATAAGAAAGAGAAAGTTCCTTTTTATTTAAAACAGAATCGAAAACAAGCATGTTGCATTGTTATTTGCAAGTGAAATCTATTTGATACTGCATTTATTTCATTGTTTTTCTCAATTCACTTCATCAACTTGAAATAATCATTTTAGGATTAAAACAATAATCAACAATTATCTTCGAGCTTTGAAAATAGATCTCCAATGAATGATTCAATTGGTGAGTCATCAACAACAACTAAAACATTTCGTTTTAGTTCAGGACAACTTTTGACATTGAATGAATATCAAATAGAAAAAATTCCTTATTTGACTGCATTGGTCTCTGCTGGACCTAGTTTTGATTCAATCAAAGTCAATCAAGGATACTATTTACTTGATTCTCATATTGACTATGAAGATTTTCTGTTTGTTCTTGATTCAATTTCATTTTATTCAATACGACAAATATTTACTGATCTACCTAAAAATTATAATATTTTGGCAATTATTGCTCTTATGGATTTTCTTGCCATTGGACCCGAAAGAAATCCAACTCTTGAAGAAGTTAATACGAGTTTTTTTTTGAGTTTTGAATTTGGTTCTGAATTAGGTATATATGAATTTATTTATCGACCATCTGACATTCAAGACATGGCTGCTCGATTTGCTATTGCCATAGCAAAAGAAGAATATGATTTTAGAAACCGTAAAGTGATCGATCAAATCTATTGGTTCATCATGTTTATTCTTAGTGCTCACAAATTATTTGAAACACATCTTCGTTATCATATACACACAATTGCTCAAAATTGCTTTTCTATATTTTGTCCATCTTTATTAGATTCTCTATATCACCTTGAACAGAGAAGTGAAAAAGAAATACAAGAAACGCTATTCGCAACAAGTAATCATGTCAAGTCTAACAAGGAAAAAAATATTCTCTGGAATTTGAATTCATTTGACAATAAATGTCAATGTAATTTTTGGCAATTCGATCGTACTTGTGCCATACGCCGTTTACACTTGACTTTCACATACTGTTCTTACAAGAATTACATGCCATGGCTTCTAGAAAGAAGATATTCTTCTTTTTTCGGTTTGTTTCCTAAAAATTCCAATCACATGGGCAAAAATCTCGCACCAGTTTGTGAGAAAATATTACGAAATATGTACAAGTGTTTGTTGGGTACACTAGTGGAACAACTATTAGTGAAAACACATGATTACAACTTCGATAATTTTGAACAACTAAAGTATAAACCGATCTTAGATGATATACTAAATAGTAATACTGTGCAAGTTACAATACAGGAAAGCATATTATCAGAAATATGTGAGTTGACGCCAAAACTAGAACGAAAATATGCTGAGTTAATGAAAGAAATGCAAGTCTATGAACAAAATCCTGCCCGATCCAACGAGGACAGAATGAGGATTCGTTTATGGTTTCTAGATTGGAGAATGGATAGATTAATATTGGAGAGAAAACAGGATGAAGCATTAGAATGTGAACGAACTCTGAAAGAGTTGTATCAATATGAATCTATAATTGATAGAATACGAAAGACAATCTTAGACGATTTGTATCATCTATTTATGGATGAAATCAAAATATTCGTTGATAGACAAAAGAAAATACGAGCATTACGTAAAAGATTATCACGCAATAAAGAGAAAGAGAAAAAAAATTCAGAATTAAAGAAAATACATCAGATACATCTGACTACAAAATATCCACCAATACCAAAAATCCAATGCAAATATACAACACATTAATTTCGAAGATTATGTTGGCATTGTAATTAAAAATGTAAAGCGAATCTTATAGTGACATTTAAACTCTAAATGAATCTGGAATTCTTTGTTTTTGAATAGGAAGAATAAATAAATATGTCATAATTAGTGCTACGATAATGGTGAGCAAATCGTCAAATTACTAATGATTCTATACAATCATCTGCTCATAAAACGCACCATTTTATAAATGAAAAGCTCTATTAAAATTTTATCTAAATTATAATTATTCATTTCACTTATACAAGATAAGAAATCTAGGCATGTGTTTTTACAGGAGAGTGCCAACTAACGACTTACAGTGTTTATTATCCTATCAAAAACATCGATGTTCTCTCTTCGCAAACTTTATTTTGTGGAACTCACATACATTTTCGAAGAAAATAGTGAGTGTAAGTTTTAAGTTCAAGTTTTCCGGCTCTCCATCTCGGCTCCCTCCCTCACCCGATTACAGACCACCTAGCAACGCAAGCCCCCATTACAGACACTAGCAACCAAGAAATATAATTCTTATTTTAAATGCAATAATAGAAAAAAAATCATTGCACAAGATAAAAAGAAACTTTGACTACTCTGGCATAAGCCATCAATAAAATTCGTGTGCTAATATTCTTAGTTCAGTTTTGAATTTTACCCAGATAAAAATTTATATTTAAGACGTCAAACGATAATGAGAAATGATCAATTGATCAACTTGTTAATTTAAAAAAAACTCAGTGTCAGTGTTTTGACTTGATTGAGATATATAATAGTTCAATGATACTTGTGGTAGATAAAATGTACATGTGTAAGAGGCATATTTGTCATTTGAATCAATGATTGCAATGATAATACAATTAAATAAAAAAAAGTAGGCGAAAAAAATACGAAAAATAGAAATGATGAGGAAGTGACAACAAAAATAGAGCGCCTGCAAAGAAAGCAAAAAAATTCTTTTCATGACTCAAGTAACAATTAAATGGATTATGTTTCTAGCGATCCATGATTTTGGAAAGCAACTGTAATATGGTACAATTTTTTCACTTTACATATTTCGTATCAGTATAATCAGACTAAAGAAGCTATTTAACTTCCACATTTTAGTTGTGTAGGCGAGCTACGCTATAAGCTTTTTCCATTGTAGATGTGATAGATAGCAAAGATTTTTTCTTAATAGGCGAATTTGTTAGTCGTTCAAAAAACAGTGCATATAAAAAAACCATTCGAATATTGAACGAGAGTTGTAAGTCGGATTAGATTTGATTCGATTAATTTAGTGAACTGATCTCCTTCGAACATTCGATACCAGTGTAAAGAGAACTTTTCATGATCACATTGTGTAAAACAAACAAAAACTTACATGAAAGAACATTAATAATTCAGGCAACTACTGTGCTGAATTTATCAACAAATGTCATATATAGGATTGTTACCTCTGCTGCTTTTTCATATGTGAAATTTTGGTTAGTTGTTATCAAAAATTTTGAGGCAATAAGATCGATTAATAGTTAGTAAACTATGACAGCTGTCGTATACAGCCTATCATCGCCTATATGATGTATTCTGCGTTCTATTCCAGCAAGCAATTCAATGCATTTCAAAATCAATTCATTGTCAATATCATTTGATTTGATGAGAGTCTTTTGTTTTGAATTGTCGTTTTTTCATATTCTTTCTGGTTGAATGAAAGATAAACAATGTTCCGCGTCCAAAATCTTCGATTCAAAATTCATTCTGTTTGAAATCTCTAGTCACATATTTATCTTGATTGATTTCATTTCTGATGATATAACATTCAAGACAACAATGGATGCTTTTAGCATGATGAAGTTGAACCTTTTCCTTTTTATTGTCGCATGAAAACATTCCGATGAGTGTGGACAAATACAAGATCGACACCCACCCTTATATAGATGAGGCGACCTAGTTCTGTCCTTACGGTGAAAATGCAATACTGTTGCGGAATAGGTGTATAGGGACAGAATATATTCATCAACTATGAAAATAAAAAATTTATTATTAGTCACTAAAAAGTAGTAATCTAGAAAGTATGGTAGACAAAAAATTGCATAGACAGGCACATTTGTGTTTACGTATTCTTCCATTTAGCACCATCTTGTGGTATATAATTTAAATCTTGTCGGCAATTATCCATATCAACCCAACAATAATCATTATTTGAAGAAACAAAATAGATTTCCAACTTTTTCAACATCGATTGTTTTTCTAATAATCGATCAATAAATTGACATAAATCACGATGACTACACCATATTGATTTATCTGACCAATCATATAAATCAGATGTTATATCATCAGTTGTATTTATCCAACCGAATCTAGCACAAACAAATTTAACATTTATAGTTTCCATTGATGAGTATTGTCTAGCCAATTCTTCACCATATATTTTACTGTTACAATATGCTTCAAACGATGGATTGAAATGTGATGGTATCGGAGGATCCTTGATTGTTATCTTTTTCAACAATTGTTTTGGTTGAACATTTTTTGCTAATGATGAATAAGGTTCATTTTCTAAGTAGCCGAAAACAGCCATGACTGAACTGGCATAAATAATCATTTCAACATGTTCTTGTTTTGTTGCTGTATCAAATAGAATTTTTGTACCATAACAATTAATATAATTAATTTTTTCAACTGTCTGTGTTTCTAAAAGTGACGCTAGATGAATAATAATATTAATGTGATTTTCTTGAATAATACATGAAAGTTGCTTTTCATCAGTGATATCACATACATAGAATTTTTCTTTTGATGGTAATATTGGCTGTTGACCTTCTGCTGTTGGTGTATTTTCAAGCTGATAACGTGTCGATAATCCAATGTGTTTATCTATTCCATAAATATCATAGTTAGAATTGTTTGATAGATGTTTGATTAGTATACCAGCAATGAGACCAGATGCACCAGTGATGAGAATTTTTTTCACCATCCTTAGTATCAAATAACAATAAGAAGAAGAAAGAGACTATAATGAAAAGTGATACATGTGCATCTCTTTCTTTCTCTCTTATCAGCTGGTTACACTTACAGAATATAGATAATATGTGAAAATGCCGAGATGAAGAATTTTAAAAAAATACAAAACATGGTTTGGATATCTTGAGACCACTAATCGTCTGTACAATAGAAATTCATAAAACATTCAGTGAAATACCCATCATTTTAAGAAAGATCACAAGCTTTTCGATTTGAAACAGATTTACAATCGCAACGTCAAAAGAAGATTCAGTTTTTCTCTTTTTTGTACAATAAATAGACGTGCCATTCTTCCCAATAGATGATTAGCACTTAAGCTCTGTGTTCATTGAGATTTTCAAAACAGCTCATGTTTTTTGTATATTATAAATTAATAAGTGTTCAATTCAACAAGCATTGAATTATGTATACTACTACTTTTATAGGTAAAATAGAGTGGTCGAGTAAACATATTTAATTGATGCCCCGTTGTTATCGTAGAAATATCTTAATTCAATGTTCGTTATGAGATAAATTCTTGTATTATTTCTAAAGAACATCAACAAGTACAAGGTTAAATAGGTTCCTTGTGTTCAAGTTAGCCCAGGACGAGTCTAGAAAATGCTTCTCTATCTAAGAAGTTAATTCAATTAATAGCCTTGTGCTAAATATCAAATATGTAGCTCTTTTCTAGCGTTTTGATGTGGGCAATGACGAAATGTTCTTCTAGCCGATATCCATGCTCACTCACAACTCACACTAGATCGTTTCAAACTTCTGTTTTTTTCAGAATGAATTACTAAATGTTTATTATGTTACATCTTTAAATAAACAATAAATAAAAGTATGAAATTTGTACAATAACCAATCACGTATATAGTCATCAAAATTGAAGTATTTCTGTTCAATTGTTACATCTCAATCACCACCACAACCTCCACCTCCACAACCTCCGCCGCCACAACCTCCACCTCCACAACCTCCACCGCCACAGCCATTACCGCCACAGCCTCCGCCGCTACAGCTTGATGCACAACTGCCCCCGATCGCTCCACATGACGATGCTCCACTACCACTCGAAACGTGAACTGGTATGAAAACCATTGCACATGAACTCACGTATTGTGATGTTTCTAAATGTTTTCGATCAATATTGTGACCATATTCTGAGTTATAAATCTTTTTCCATCGTTCAGCAGTTTTCTTATAAACTTTCGTTAAAGTATTTGATTCTATTGCATCATCATGATCAAGAATAAAACCACATAAAGCTATTGAAGCAGTTTGATATTGTGATGGATATCTCATATGTGTATGCCATATCAAATCAATGTCAAAAGTTGGTACGATCATTTCCTTTTTTATAGCCAATTTCATAAATGATACATAATTTTGTACGAAATGGACAAAATGCGAACGATCCATCTTTTTCAAGTCAAATGAATATAGATAATGATTTTGAAACTTTTCAAGAAAATCACGTTGCCGAATGACAGCCTTTCTCAAATCGATTGATGGAACAAATACGAAATTCTTATTTATCGATGAAAACGAGATCTTTGCATCATGTTTACGTTTAGAATTTTGTAGAACTTGACGAATTTTTTTATCAACAAGTTTTCCACTTGGAAGTTGTTTAGTACAATCATTGTGATAGCTTAAAGGATGAAGACGATGAACGTGCCAAATCCATTCAGTTTCCAATGGAAGTTTCAATTGTTGCTGTTTGCTTTTCATGTCTTGTCGTGCCATTCGATTACAATAATCGTCGATAAAATGATCCAATGTTGGTCCTTCTTGTGTCAATTCTGGTTGAGCAATCACTTGACGAAGCAACAAGATGTGATCAACCAAATCATGATACGAGATTCGAAATCTCTTGCCATCTTTTGTTCGAATTCGTGCTTCGAAATTTGGCATCGAGGATGACGGTGCACTACCCATTTCTCGTGATTATTTTTGTTTAATTATTTTGATATACTTTCTAAAGATGAATTGCATGAATTTTATAAACTACGTCCTTTATCATGTAATTCCGTCGTAACACATTTGATAACGACTTAATAATGCTATCTTCTGTTCGCTGAAATACAGCATACCGCACGTCATAAAAAAATCTAACATATAAACAATTATTCGTCTTATCATAGTGAGTCAAAATTTTCTTATTGTAATATTCTTTTAAATGAATCATTATTTCTTCTCTTCTTGTTTTGCTAGATGTGACACAAAAGAGTGCTAAGAAAAATGAAGCCGTTGGCAAATATCAGACTTATTTTATACATCACGAAAAAGAGCAATTCTTGAATCCAGAAAAGATGATCCGATATAGTTTATGATGCACAAAAGTGAGGGAGAACATGTATGCAAAATCATTTGAAACATCCACAGAGAGCTATTCTTGTTCGAGATAAGATAAGAAACTCTGCTTTCAAGCTCTGAGTCCTCGCCGAAATGAATAGCATCTTTCGGCGTTTTAGGAATAGGTATTCTGCGATTCAATGAATGTTTTTTCTCTGATTGTTTATCGAAATATAGAGCATCCATTAGAACAATCTTAAAAAAAAAAAACTTGAAAAAATATTCTCGGCTTTGAGTTAAGTATTTTCAAATTTTTCAAAGATATAGACCTGTGCTGCACAGGAATAAATGGGAAACTCTTGATAACTTTAGAACTATTGAGTAATAAAGTAAAATTATGAAAAAAACTATTTGTCATTAGAAATTGGACTTTTTCTTCTACTGAGAACACTCATCTTCATGTTTTCACTCACATGAAAGCAAAAATGAGGCGCATACAATCGAATGGGGGCTCTGGAGCATTTGTGCCTCTGGTCCTCTTGCAAGACGTATCTTCGTCGTTGAAAAACAACATAAGTACAGTTGCCTGCGTCATTGTGAAAAGTGAGAATATAAGAAGAGAACATCGACTGAATTCATTGATACAAAAAGAGGAGTTGTAAAAAAAGAAATAATAATTGATTCTCAAAATTCGAGTAGCTTCTATACATCATGAACACTCGCAGGCATTAGTTGCTATGCCAATTTTTTCTTCGACTCTTCTCTTTCTTGTTGAATTGAAATGGCATCATAGTAGCGACGAGTGCCTTTGTGAAGATCAAATAATATCAACATGGACTAATTGAAGGAAGAAAAAAACTATTTTTTATTGCACACAGAAACGATATTATGTTTTACATCACAACATTACTATTACTGAGGAAGAGAGCAAAAAAAGCAATGGTTCCATTGTAAAATAGAATTTGAAACAATTCGGTTCGATTTGGCTACAGTTTGGCGCGGTTTGACAAACGGTTGCTTCAAATGTGGCTGAAAAAGTTGAAAAGCAACAGTATTCGAGTAGTTTTTCTAGTCATGAATGTTACACATCACAGACAATGAATGCCAATGGAAACCACTTTATATTTAGACTCAAAAGCACGCTCCCTTTCTCTCATAGAAATAGCTTGTCTCCTGTTCATTTGTTCACACGCTTCGTAGTTTGATCGTTTGTAAATAAATAAATGCTTCTCGGAGAGGGAAAATAGTTCCTGTTTTTATGAATTCTCTCTCCTTTTTCATCATTTGTTTTGGTTCGTTTGCCATTTTTATTGTATTGACTTTTACTTACGCATGGATCCCTCAACATTTTGTTGTATCACTTTTATGCCAGCAAAGAATGAATACAGAAGAAAAATGATCTTTATTCTCATTATGTTTCTAAGATAACTGATACAGCTCTTGCTGCCTTATCATGTTTCATCAGCCTGTATGTTTCAACTTAGTCTCGAACTACATACAAAGATTACAATGCTGACAAATAAATTTTAATTATTTCATCGAGCTTCTAAAAGTCTCTGGTGAATTTCGACGAGAAATTTGAAAAATCGATAAACAAATAAATGAATACCAATGGAACAAGTTAAAAGAGAACAATTTTGTATTCTCTTAGTTGCTCAGTTCAATAATTTATTCTGGATTATATAGACAAGAACATTTTTATAAGAACGAATGATTCGAAGTACAAAATTCATTTGTTTATGACTATTGTCGTGAAATCAGCGAGAACTGCAATAAAAGAAAAATAAAGTGATAGAATATGGAACTTATTAATTTTTGACAAAGTTTTCTGAATAACGAAGGTCGCCTCTCTTTTCACATCCCTCGCAATTTAAAAACTTGGACTAACTATGAGAAAAAATCCAAAAATTTTTTAGTTGATTGTTTGATACATCTTGAAATGCATTCTAGCCTAAAAAAATGATCTCTTGTGTATATTCGGTGAATCGAAAAATCGGATCAAACATATAGATATCCTACTAGTTTTTTGGCTATCTCCATTATAAGTAAATAGATGAATAACTATCAACAGAGTATAGAATCTGTAAAGCATCAATGGTGAAAGCGTTTGCGCTAATTATATTGGTAGGAACACTGTTAAAATTAAGGAAAGGACTAACATGCAATGCTTTTGTCTTCTTAAATGCTGTTTTCAAATATGAGAAATAGTTTTTATTTGGTATAAATTGCACTAGTTTATCATCGTACCTGATTATGTTTTTGATGATGCTCTGACAGCTTTTTGATTGCAAACTGAGTTTGTCGGACTAATCGAGTAGATGGCATTGCTGTCAGAACTGAGTGCAAATATCGTTGTCACGTTGTTCATCGTATACGACCCAAAATAGCCACCAAGATCAATGAAGGTTGTGGTGATTGTAGATCGACTACCACATGGTACACCAGTTACTCCAACTGTGAGTTCTATTGAGTCCGTCCCAGAACTTGTCAGTACGGCTTGTCCACTGAAGCAGCAACAAGATGTTGTATTACATGATGAATCAACATTAAAGGTACCAGTCCACAGCGGCGACTATTCTGCGACTAAGTAGTGAAGAAAAAAAAACACGTTATTTGAGCATATTTATTTTTCGAGTCTATTTCGCATTTGAAAATGCACCTGAAAAAACAGATTAGCTTATGTTTTTGGCGGAGATTCTTGGAAACGCGCATACAGTTAATAAAGCATTCATTGTAGATTTCAGATCACTCAGGTTTTTAAACGTTAACGGACTGCCATATTACTGTGTTTTCTAATTAGCATTTATTCTTATCTGAGACTCTATTTCATTTATTGATGTAAGACTCTAATTTCTTTGTTTGAATCCAGACTTGATGTGCTGCATTATAGATGATGTGTTAATATCTCTGTTAAAGACTACACGATATTTGAACTGGTTGCTGTTTACTCCCTTAGTCAATGAAGATAAGAAAAGTAGAAGTATATCGATTTATCCTACCTTTCATCTTATTATATAACCCAACTGGAAGTGCGATGGCCGAAACAAAAGCGATGATCGATACCACAATCGGTAATAACAAAAGCAAGTATTGAACACATTTGGATCGAGAACCGGAAGCTTTGTTTTTGTTTCTTTTTTTTTTGTATAAAAGCACATACAGAATAATGAATTTTGTGAAAAATGATATGATGGCAGAAAAATCTTCTGATTAACAAAAAAATATTCAAAGTCTCATTCTACCTGTTATCATTGTTATTTCCCTCCCTTGTAGTGTTAATATTGGGCGGTCGATATCCATATGTGTTTGATGGGGAATGCAATGATAAATCAGTAAAAGGCTGCTCGGTCGTTGTCATGGTTGGTAAGTTTGTTGATCTTTTTCATATAGAATATATCGTGTATATGGATTATAACAAGCTATATCATCAAGATAGATTTATCGTTTCGAACGGAAACAATCAAAAATGCTTTGATATACATATTCGAAGTAACAAAATTCTTATTTTTGGCAGTCGATTTGCATGAGCACAGATGTAAACTATTCGACTGCTCCTTCATATTTCATTATGCACAGGTCTCAGTGTCTGTCAGAATCCTAGTGAAAAAGTTGTTTAAACAAGGACGTTCTCCACGCACTTTTAGGACAATGTGATGTATGATTGTATGTTCATTATGTAACAAAACTATTCGATACTTACAACTAGTTGCATACTTTTTCTTTACATTAGAAGCTGTACAAGTTTTTATACGTGCTTTTTTACGCTCTTTTCTGCATCCCGATCGCAATGTTGTTCATACTTTATTCGTTTCAAAAAAAACTGTTCCACTCATAAAATGTGTTTATTTAGTTTCACAAACAACCATATGTTACATAGTACAGACATCTTGAACATTCTTCTACATGCAAGAAAACTGAAAGATTGAAGTAAGACTTATAGACGAAAAAAACAATTCAAATATCGTTCACATAATTTCGTATGTATTGCATCAAAGGGTCAATGATCACTGTGATATTAACGAGTTTTTTACTGTGTTGCGATCTCTTGAAAAGAAGTTGTACCCATGTGATGATGGCAATGGAGAAAAAGCGTATAGAACGAGTCATAGATGAAACTGTTTGGTAGTTCAACATTTCCATATAATGTTTGAACAAAATGGCACGTAACTTGCCGCATCCTGACAGTTCGAATGCTTTCATCAAATACGATAATAGTTTGACACGCAAGGAAAGTCATTAGAACACCATAACTTTTAACTTTATCAACATCTACAAATCATCGCGGCAAACATTGTCCTGTGTATTTTCATCAAGAAATTTATGATCTTTTTCCTGTAGCTCACGAGCTGACGTATATAATTCACTAGTCTGCTAGGAGTAAACATATTGGCAAACGAAAGATATGTTAGACAAAAACACAGCGTAAAGATATGAGTGTTTGTGGTTCGTACAGCCTATCGGGTCCAAAATTTTAATAACGAGACCCGGTTACATCCGGAACCAACTCTATGAGCTTTCGTAGTTCGGGAGAAGGCACCCATATTCACACTTCATGTAGTTTAAATTTTATTTTAGATGTAACAGCTTTGCCTTAATAATAAAAAATCTTCGATTTTAATATTATTAAAAAATAAATTCTGTAT